TGAAATCGATGTTGGAGAAATGCTCAAGTAACAGACAAGTGATGGAAAAATGAAGATCTGGTGTGGTGGGACCAGTTACCTACCGAGCAGGGACAACCCCCAGGGACGAGGACACAACAGTCATTTTACTTGTATGGTGCAATAATTATAAAGGAATTGGGAAAATACATCAAGTCTTCGAATTTTTACAAAAACAGCCTTTCTAAGGAGCATGCTGAAAAAATCAAATGTGGCATAAAGGATGTTGAATAGTTCTCTATAAAATTTGTGGGGAAATTATTCTTTAAAAACCCCCAAGAATACTTGATTCATTCCTTTTTCTTAGAATAGGCATACAATTTCAATTATAATGTAAATATTTCTATGACATGCATCCATAATAAAATTATTTCTAACATTTATTTTTTTCAAACTCAAGATTGCCTCATGCTTTTTCACTATACTTGTAATGAAATTCACTCTGTGTGTGGAAGAGTCACTTTAAATGTCTCCTTTCCTGAGACCAATTATTATTAGATGAAGTCCTGTATGTGTTTATTGCAAAAGATCTCATTTTAAACAAATATGTTCCCCTGTGCTGTCTACAAGTCCTATAAAACTAAGATATTGAATTGAGTCTCATCAAAATATTTTGTGGAGAAGACTACTACTATTAGTAACAGCTAGAAGAAACTGCATTTTAAAAAGTGTTTCTCAGAATAGTCCAGTTAGCTCTATCCATATATTTTCCTCTCAGAGATTATTCATTCACCTCTGCATTCATTCTCTCTCTCTCCACACACACATATGCACACACACATGTACACACACACACAGGGAAATTCATGATTAAGTTTAAAATATCCATCTCTTTTATTATGTAGAATTGCCATAACCATACAGTCTCATCCAGCCCCTGAATTTTCTCAGGTTTCCGTGGGGAGGCCCTTAGATGTGGGAGTTTATTTCAGTTTGTAGAAGCATTCTGTTTTGGGATTTGCTGACACCAACACTTTGTCTCTCCTGTCCCCTTACACCACATGCCTGGAAAACTGTAATTATTAGTTTTTATTTTTTATAGCAGGATAATTATTTTGTTATTTTTGCTTAAGTAATAAAAGAACCTAAGTGTGTTCTCCAAACGACGTGACTCGCGTGCACCGGGCTGTGGGCCTACCTGTCGGCACTGTACGGCAACACCACCACTGCTCTCCACGAAACAGGCTGCCACGGTGAGTCACACCGGTGAAACACCCAGGACAATTTGATGAAAATCCTTTACAAAAGCTTCCAACACAAAGCAAGATAGTCTGTCACATGTAGGAAGATCTCCCTTTTCTTAATTCCAATTATGTTTTAACTGCTGATGCTCATATCAGATAATGAATGTATCGTTAAAATGAATGTTGGTAAATTTCTTACGGCCAGGAGCAAATGCCTCTTTGCTACAATTTATGACTATGTAGATACAGCACTGAACTCTCTGTGTGACAGTCATGTTTGTTAACTCAAGGGCCAAACCACCAGATTGGCTCATCTAGATTAAGGCAGATTAGGACAGGGATTTGTACAAGGGCAATTTCTTGTTTCAAGGGCACTGGGCACAGACTTAATGAATACCTCAGTGTCTGCTAGGAATACTCTTAAGTGAAACTTTGACAAAACAAATGCAATCATTCCAGAAGTCTGTCCGTCTTGCTTGCTCTCTACCCTAATCTACAACCTCCTTTTGGTCCCTCTCCTTAATGCGGGACAGGATTAGGGGATCACAGAGGTAAATCAGTGCAAACTAATGAATGCACACAGTCTGCGAAACAAAATCCTCCAGCAGACCACGTGACCCGCCACAGTGCAGAAAAGCAAAACCTTTAGCTCACTGGAATGTATAACACGTCCCCCCGGGCAATTACACATTCCTCTGATCAGAAAAGTGGGACGTCTGTGGCTTTACCTTGGCATTATACAAACTTCTCCAAATCTGTATTTTTGCCGCCTGAGTACACACAGCCCTTAGACAGTTAAATAACTTTGAAACCAGTAAGAGCAAGTGTGGGTCATTCCACAGATGAGAAGATCGGGACCACTAACGACAAAGAAGGGTTCTCTTATAGCATGACAGTTATTCCAAATATTGAGATTCTGTCATAAACATGTAACACTCTGGCTATTGTATTATGTGGCCCAAAATGGAGGGTACAGAGAAAGAAGAGGTTAAATACGGATTGAAGAGTGGGAGTAACTCTTCTTCCCATTTATTAATACTGAGCCAAGGGAGCTGCCTGCCCAAGCAGAAAAGCTTTGGAAATGCACCCTTAAGCATTTACTCTGTGCCTGTTCCTCTCTTCTACATATAGAAGGTCCACAGAACATTTGCCAGGAGGATGTGGTTCCTGTGCTTTCTGTCCATTGTCTGGGCTAAGGCCAGCTTTCAAGTTTCTACAGCCAATGGGACAGTAACTGCGGAGACACACTGGGTGCTGAAGTGCTCCCTGTGGGTTATTGATCAGTGAAAAGGTCTTCCTAAGCATTTGTTCTGGGCAACATGCTAGGTTGAAAAACAACAACAACAACAACATAGGCACGCCATATTGGTTTCCACATTGTGCTTTAGCCTTAAATAAACCAAGGGGTTTATTTTCCCCAGAAACTTCTCGGCTTCAAGTCTGTTTGAACAGAGAATTCTATTCAACCACCTGTTCTGGTCCTCAAGCTTGAAGGCAGCGTGATTCTGGAGCTGAACGAGAAATTGGCCATCCACAGCCAGTGATCATCTTCCTTAGGATGTCTTATCTTTCTTTGATTTTTAAGGTTAATCAGTTTCTGTCATAAGTGGGCTTAGTTCAAGCCCCTGATTTTTGAACCTGAGATGTCTGCCGAACTCATTAACCTCCCTCCTAGCGCTCCCAGAGAGATGTGGTCACCAGAGTATTTCTCACCAGTTGCTTCCCATTTCCAGAAAACAGGGCAAGTTAGGAGCCATTTTAAGGTCTGGTAGTGAGTTTCCAAAGTGTAGTATTTACTTGAGAGAAGTGTCACCAGCCCCATTCTCCACGTTTACAGAAAACGCCACCCCACCGGAGGGTTAGTGCAGTGTTTTAGCTGGCTCAGAATCCACTGCGGTTCTTCCGAGAACCTAAGTCTTCTTGCTCTTTGCCAGTTGTCAGGAGAGCTGGTTCCTGTTCTGTGAGTTCATTAAACTAGATTCCCAGTGTGAGTATGCACCTTTATTGGTAGTGGGTATTAACTAACTATTCTACCGGTAGTAGAAGTTTAGGGTGTATTTCTGTATTCACCTACCAATTTACACCGTCTATTCCAAGTGCGGGGATTCTGACCCAGTGAGTTTACAAAAGGCTCCACCACTGGACTTCTGACAACTAAAGGAAGTCCAGGCGGCTCCGGCCAGCTGAGGAGGTGCATGCGAAACAAAAAGCAAAGGGTGTCTGGCAGCATTCAGCTTTAATCTCTGAACGGCAGGCCCACCAGCCCTTTGCATCCTTTGCTAATTCTACTTATATGCATCTGAAGAAAAAAAATTCCTAATCGGTTCTAGATTTGTTTTAAGCCAATGATATCTTGAACCTCAACAGTAACTGAAATCTGCCAACTTTTACCTATTAACTGAGAGTTGATATGTTTCCTTTGGGGAAATATAAAAAGAAGATAAAGAGTTGAGACCTGTTTGAGAAGGTAATGCACACTGGTCAATTTTCTTTTCCGACTAGACAAAATTCAAAAGGTGAACAAGTAGTTTAGAAAAGCGAGAATATTAGCTGCTTGAGTCAGATGTTTGGGAGATTTTTCATGCAAAGTGTTTGTGAAAAGAGTGATTTATGAAGCTGATCCTTAAAGCTTGGATGCGTTTATGCACATCATGTAAGTAAATAGCCATCTCCTTAAATGTCATTGAGTAGAGAGTCTATTTTACAATTTAATTTTAGTTTGTAGATACAAAGTGTACATCTTTGAAAACAAAGATTTATTTTAGAAAATATAAGCAGTACTACTTCTCAATATCTGTTTATTCTTTCTTAAGATGATTAATATCCATTATTCTTTCTTGTGTACAGGCCCTACATAGCAGAAAGACACATTGTCAGCCCAGTGTGATTCGACCTTCCAGAACTGATTTGAAATGAACTCAGAAATCATTATTGACGATCCCCAGAATTAATCAGCATTTTTAATCATTCACATACATGGTTAGTCATTAGTGACACAAAGAGAAAAAGCAATAAAGAAAGAAAAACTCCCAGGAGCACACCTCTATAGCATACTGGCTTCCACGCTCACTGCATTTTGAACATAATTCATAAAAATCCTCTAATAAAGAATGAACAGCTATTTATCTTTTTATAAAGCAATGTTTTATATGTCAAAGATTATTATATATCTTATGAAAATAAATAGCATTTCCTCTTCTAGATTCAAAAATTCATTTTCCTGACGTATGAAATGTGGTTAGAGTTAAACCTAAAAAGAGAATATTTTTTCATGTAAGATATAGAAATGAATGAGATACTTTTAAGTGAAAATGTTCCAAAAATAAAATCCTATATTATTATGACTGAAAAAAGAAAGGAAAAGGGAAACACTGAAAAAGATTAACTGACTTACCCTTAATTAGTGTTTGCCACTAAATACAAATAAATATAAATGAAAATAATCGGAGTACCGGCCACCATTTATTGACTATATACTGATCAGTATGACTAAATACTGATTGGTATAGAGTAGCATTACAGAGACTTTCATAAACTAATTTTAACTCATAGATACAAAGTGTACATCTTTCAAAATGAAGATTTATTAAGCACTTCACAATCTTGCTAAGTACCTCACAATTGATAGGGCTTTTATTCCTCCTAACTCAGAGGTAAGCATTTTAGAACTTACAGTGAGAAACCTATTCCCATAGAGCAACTGGCCAAGAATACACAGTTGTCACTGGGAGGCGCCTAAACTTGAACTGCCCTGAGCTGTTAGCCACATAATAGGCTTGCTTAGTCACAGAACACTAACGCAAGAATCTGTGCAGGTAAATGAAGCCTAACCTTAACCTGCAGGAAAGGCTGCAGAGTCAGACTCCTGGCTCAACTGACAGGGCCCTGCGAGAAGGAACAGCGGAGCACTTGAAAAAGAAGGTAGCCCGTCAGCACTCAGACCGAGGGAAGCCTGCCAACCCCCCGCCTCTGCCTCCAATCTCACCCAGGGTGCCCTGGCTCCAGCAGCCTTACAGGGAGGTGTGCCACTCCTAACTCCGAAACAGGGGCTCACAGAGAGCTCCTGCGAGAGAGAGAGAGAGAGAGAGAGAGAGAGAGAGAGAGGGGGGGGGGGGAGGAGAGACAGAGAGGGAGGGAGGGAGAGAATGTCTCTAGGAAAGGCAGGGAGCAGAAAATGATTGCTCACGCATTTACCTTTCTTCGAGTCAGGCAAGAATGGACCATTTCAACTTTGGGGATTGGTAGGGATCTTGATAGAAGTTAGGAAAGGAAAAAAAAATCTCTGTCTGGAATATGTTCTGGTGGTGGACAACCGTGGAAGCAGACTACAGAGAAGACAAATCCTATTAAGCCAGCTGGAAGGACTGAGAGCAGCTGGTGCTTTGGAGGCAGAAGCAGCTAGGAAAGGCTCAGCAAAATCTGCATTGCAGATAAGCCTCAAGGGAGACAGCTGAACTCTGTAACATCTCCCCAAACCAGCTTCTCTCCTGAGAGTGGAGTGGAGTGGCCGCAGGTGGTGTAATTTAGAACGTAAATAATTTCCAAGCCTTTCTGGTGACCTTGGATGGTTTAACACAATTCCATCTTTTATCTTGCTGCTTTTCACCAGTCATGTTTGTGCATGCGCATGCGTGTGTGTGGAGGGGGTAGAGGGTTGGGGGTGGAGTGGGCAGAAAGCAAGAAAGGGACACAATGAACAGGATTGTGTAGTGCCTTCCATCCTCCTTTTATAGGTCCTTCCTACCTTTTATTTAGTGTTAGGCTTGATCTTCATTAAACTTACAGTACTCAGCTTCAACACGGCATAAAGAAAGAACTGAGCACCTACCTTGACTATTAAGAAGGGGGTGGGGAAATATAAACTGGGAAAGTCATAATAATCGCTCCTGATTATAGACCTTCTGCTATGTCAATTATCTTCATTAACTGCCTCAGTATCCTAATGAGGTTGATCTTATTCCGGTTTTGTACAACCGAGGCTGGAAAGATTCCCAATTTTTCACAGCTGATGAGCGCCAGAAACTAGATTTGAACCCAAGGGTATCTAACTTCAAAGAATGCACTTATTCCACTACATTATAGCCCAGCATCTGCTGAAGGCCTTTTATGTGCCAGACATTCTCCTTACAAAAGGCAATAATGGCCATTGCCTCCAGAAATTCCTGCTTCGTTGGGATAAAGGCAATGGTAATAAATAGCTTTATAAATAGAGGCTGTTATTAAAAAAACTATTCTAAAAAGACTTCATATTTTCTAGAATGTGTTCCCAAATAGTAATTTAGAATTCTACTTAAAACGCACACACACGCACATAGTAATTAAAGTTTAGTATATGATCACAAGAACAGTAAGTCACTGTGGGGATGAGCGATGACCGAGTGGAACACAGGATTGTTAGGACGGCGACAACACTCTGTACGATATTATAGGGAAGGACACATGTCCTTATACATTTATCGAACACACTGAGTGTACCCCGCAGTGAGCCCTAAGGTACACTGTGTACTCTGAGTGATGATGGTCTGCCAGTGGCCATCCTTGATGGAAAATGGACCATTTTGGGAGACATGCTGATCACAGGGAAGGCTATGCGTGTGTGGGGGCAGGGAGTGTGTGCGAACTCCCTGTACCTCCCTCTCAGTTTTGTCATAAACCTAAAACTGCTCTAAAAATAATGTGTTAATAAAAGGGGTATATAGAGCAAGAGCAGAACAGACATTTTGGACACCTCCGACAATCCAATATGGAGTCACTGTCACCGTGACAGTTAGGTCAAGTGCTTTGCTGATCACAGGGTCATGGGGTGTAACAAGTATGCTCTTAGGAGGGGACCCAGACACCCAAAACCACATTTGGATAAGGAGTCCATCTGGACACCGATATGAGTGGGACCTACGCCTCTGGTGGTCTATAAGAACTCAGAGTTCTGACCACCTGATGGCCAAGCTCAGCTGTGCCATGGGTCACGATTGGAGCCCTGCTGGACTTTCACTGCCCAGGATGCATGCCACCTGCTTGAACCAACACCCACTTCTCCACCTGTGGACACCAGTGACTGGGACTTCTTACTGGACACTCACTGTGCTCATGTCTATCACATACGGTCCCCCACACCCCACCGTGTGTGACCTGCATGAGACTCTGTTGGCTTATTAGAGAGGTCTCCCTGAGTAAACCTGGCATGGTGGAAAGACACAAACATGTGCGAGTGACTCCTTCTGGGGACACTGCTTTGTTCACAAGAGGGAAAATAGAAAAATAAATATCTAATTAAAGGGAGAGCATAGACACAGTTTTCATGATCTAGAGGGTGAATGAAATGTTGATAAATGGAACTTTGGTGGAGATGTCAGTTAGGTATGCTTTTTAGGGAAAGACAATAGAATAAGAAATCAGTCTGTCAGTCAACATCATTTTTAAGCAATCACTCTGTGCAATAGTTTCTGGGGTTCTAGTTAGGACTGAAACAAACACTCAAGAAGGTTCCAGTCATGTGTGGGAGACTTGCACTGAGTTGATAAATAGTAAGTGAGACAAGTGCAGAGTGCTGTGGAGTATGTATGGCAGGTCCATATTAGACCAGCGTCTGAGAGAAGGTTTAACCACGGAATCTGAGACCTGACCAATAAGCAGGACTTGAGTAAGTGGAGGCACTGGGGAAGGAGGAGTGGGGTGGGAAGAGGAGTAGAGAGAGAGTGTTCCAGGCAATGAGGAAAAATATATATGCAATAGCCCCAAGGCAACAGACTCAGGATGGTCCTATAAAGTCAGAGGCCAGATCATGGATGGCCAGGAAGCACAGTTTATGGATTCCCAACTTTATGCATACTACGGGAAGTGTTGGAAGATTTTAAACACAGGAATATCATAATAGATTGCATTTTTAAAAGATGGAGCAAGAGTTGATGCAGGAAGCTATTGTAGTCATGAAGATCAGGGAGGATGAGAGACTAACTAACATGATCCTTGGGGTACAGAAATAAATGGATTTGAAAAATTAGAAAGTAGAACTGATCGGACTTGAAACTTGACTGGACTGGTAGACTTTAGGTAGCAATTTTAATAAATGTTATTTACATAAATAACAATGGTAGTTGATAAAGTGACATTTCAGAGTCTTTGAGAGTACATAAAAATTATAAAATTGTTATTCAAATGGTGAGTAAGGTAAACTGTAATGGGAAAATCCCAATAGCAGTGGCTTAAACCCAACAGACATTCATTATGAGATTAGCTCATATTCAAAATGGCTGCTGAGGATCCAGACATTTAGTCTCAATTCCCAACTGCAGGAAGATGTAGAAGTGATGACAAGTAGTTGACCTAAGTTTCACACACAACTTGTATTCTCACCTTACTGGCCAGAAATTAGTCATATGGTCACATTTACTTGCAAAGGAGACTAGAATTCCCCAAACGCAGGAGCCCCGTTATTACTGGGGAAGAAGACAGAGATCATCAGTATTTTGGACAAAAAGTAATCTGCATCACATTAATTATGGGCTAAGGCCTTGGGTATGGACTATAAAAAACTAAAACTTATAAATTGTACCAGGCCTTAACAACAACATAAAATTAAAACACACTGAAATGAGTCCACTTTGAAATAACACTACACATTTGCTAAGACTCCAAGGACACTTTTTAACCTCAGTTACCATCTAGATGGGCTGGGGAAGTTCAACAGAGTTTCGCCATCAATAAATAAGGTTTTAGACTACTAGAAAGCAGCCTCAGCTATGCCAGTAGTGAAGTATAGTTGTTTATCATTTCATTTTCTTTATTTTTAATAGTGACCATAAAAAGCCAAACTAATGTTTTTTTATTTACTTTCCTTAGCACAAGGCCTTGAGTTTAAATTATGTTATGTTACTAGATGCATTAACATTTAATTAGGTCTGGTGATTTAACCTCAACAGACATTTAACTTTAGAATATAATGACTTTGTGCAGAAAATGAGAATTAGTGGCAGGCAGGGAGTGATTTATTTTATACTTTGTGTCTTTGATGTGTTCTCGGTTTGTTTCTAAGAATAAAGGCTACCAGTAAGATTCTGTGTTTGGACAATCTAGGGAAAACGCTCTTCTCATCCACATGTGACTCCTGGGATGCTGAAGTTAAGTGCTGGTGTGACTCCTAACTTGCCCCTTAACATGCCTTTGACTTTTACAATGAAGCCACTTTCCTGTTATTCTCATATTCTTTGTTTTCATTTTACTGTGTTTCGTGTCCCAGACTCACTGAAAGAACAGAAACCTTTAATTACATTAAGCCATATAAAACCAATAATAGTATTGTGGCAGCTAAAGAGCAGCATTAAATTATACTCATTATTAACATAAATAGTCACATTCTTAATTTTGCCGAGCAAAGGATTACGCAACATTCGGTCACATATTCTATCCTATCAGTTAAATCAATACATATTCATTTACTTAACTCTGATGTTGCATATTCCCTATCTACTTGGTCCGCTTACTTCAGTATTGCTACCAGTGCATGATTTCTGGGTCTTTACATTGCATATAGTTTCTGTTGTCTCTGCTCAGGGTTACCGTGCAGTCCTGTTGAGTAGGGAAGTAGTTTTCCTATAACTAACACTAATCTCCAGGTTTCTGCATTTGTTACTCTAGCCTTAGGTATAAAGACAGTTTATATTTACATTCTGTGTTTGAGCTTACAACATGCATTCACATGTTCACCTCAACACTAAAAACCAGTTATCATCTTTATTTTACAAGGAAAAAAGGCCTAGAGAAGAGAAGTGATTTTTCCAGCTAGCTAGTAAATAGTAGAGGTAGAACAATATAATTAGTGTAAAAGAGTGTAGTAGTGCAAACATATATTGATGTTATAAAAAATCATAGTGAAGAAAATGAAATATGGTCACTGATGGAGAAGTTACACATAGTTCTTCCTCCAAATCAGTATTAAAGTGATTTTTTAAATGTTAAAAAAGAATGTAACCTAACACAAATATTGAAGCTATTCTAGAAGGCGGAATGTACACGGGCTCAGACAGAAAGAGAAAAAAAGAGGAAGGAAACTGCCGGTAGGAGCACTTTGACGAATAGCAAGCTTTTTAAGGAAACCTGGAGAAACTTCAAGTTTAGAGTCTTCAGTCCGAGTCCAAGGGGAGTGGAGAACCAGTATCATGGCAGTTCATTTAGAACATGCTCAGAACAATTGGGACCCTCCTTCCTCTCCCTCGCTACTAGACTTTTCGCTGACAGGAGAAGCTTTTGCCTTTAAGGGTAGAAATGAGAACTAATCTTTAATGAAAGCAGGTGATCAGTTTTGGAACCTGGTCCAGTACAGATAAATGGATGCAGAATGAACACATATTGTGGCATTGTGTTGGTCCTGGCCTGCTCCCCTTGTTGGCTCCATCCCCATGCTCCTCGGGGATGCTGCTTCCTGATTACCCAGACCTGCCAGGCACAGCGAGGGGCACACAGGTCTGCTCAGCCACAGAGGAAACCTGCAACAACAGCTACCTACGATCCTCAGCCTAGTTCTCCATTCATCAGAATAAACAGAGAAAACACCCTCCAAATCAATCTGAAGAAAACCACGAGCTGAACAAGAAAAATACTTAAAAAAATAAAAGATTCTTGGGGGAAATAGAGATAATCTTGGAAACAGGAGAGAACTTAGAGAACTTAGAAAGAATATTGCATACATCAAAAATATACTTCCTTCTGAAAAATAAAATTATGGAAAACTACCAGCCATAGAATAAGAACTCCTAGAAATTAATATGTGATTTCTCAAATAAATAATTCACTAAATTGAAATAATAGAATCAGCAGGGCTGAAGGCAAATAATTCAGCTGAGAAGAGGAAGAAGACAAAAACTAAAATGCAGAAAAAGTGAAAGGGGGATTTAAAAAATATGTGAAAAAGGAGACATGACATTCAAACCAGGAAGTTCGACATTTACCGACGGGAATCCCCTAAATATAGAACAGAGGCAGGGATAGCAAGAAAAAATCAAAGAAAAACAGAGAAAAGTTTCCCTGAGTCAAAAAGATATAATTTAAAATGATCAGATTACCAAATGGTATAAATGATAAAAGACTTTTATCGGGACACATCCTTTTCAAATTTCACAAAATTCCTAAAGTCTACTAGAAAGAAAAAAATCAAGGTTATTCACAGAAGAATGAGAATCTGACTGATATCAGACTTTTTATCAATAACACTGGATGCTTAAAATCAAATGATACTTGAATGAACTGTAAAAAAACTAAAAAAGAAGGCAGAAGGGGAGAGACAGTGTTAGTGTGTAAAATTTCTCATTTTTATTGTAGGAAGTCAATAGGTAATGTTCAAAGTTATGAAACTGAACTACTGTATGCAATCAAAATGGCAATCAAAAGATCTCTTAGAGAACAGAAATTACTAAAATAGTTTTCAGGGGGATGTGAGACTGGAGACGGGTTTAGGGTGAAAGACTTCAATTTTATTTTAGTCCATTTGGCTTGATTTATTTTTTACCACATGCGGGTATTAATATAATTAAAAAGGAGTAAACTCACCACTTATTCTAAAATATACATTGCATGCCTACTCTATGCTAACAAGTTTTCCAGGCACTAGAGAAATACCAAAGGCAGAAGACAAACCTAAGTTTCCATACTTATAGACTTTACATCCTTGTGGGATGAGACAGAAAACAAACCAAAACTTTGCCACTATTGACCTTTTGGGCCAGATAACTCTTTGTTGCAGGGGACTGTCCACTGTAGGATGCTTAGCAGCATCCCTGGTCTCTACCCATTAGAAGTCAGTAGCTCTTGCCCAGTTACAATAATCCAAATGTCTCCAGACATTTCCAAATGACCGCTGGCAGCGGGGGTGAGTTCCCCCTGGTTAAGAAGAACTGCTATAGGACTTAGCTTTGGGGCCAGACGGACCTGGGTTTTACTTCAAGCGCCACCAAGTATAAGGTCTTTCTCTTTGAGAAATACAGTTAACATCGCTAAACCTTGTCTCCTCTTCTGTAAAATGGGGACAAACTATTTTCCAAGGTCTTATACCCCTCTTCTTCCTCCTTCCCCTATTTCTTTTTAAACGATCACATGAGAAAACTTATGTACTCAGCACGTAATATGCATTAAATAAATAACAACTCTTATTATTTTAATTTTCACTGTAGCAATGATGATGAAGAAGACAAGGAGAAAAGTCTGTGGAGTGGAGGGTGAGTGCCAAGGGCTAGTGAGGGGTGAGAGGTCTGTGCAGTCCTTGAATGTTTGGGCCAGGGGTCTGGTTATGCTCTGGAATGGCACTCTCCAATAAAACACTGTGATCATGGAAAGGTACTATAATATACAATGCCCTATAGTGCATAATGTTCTAAGAAAATAATATGGCTATGGAGCATTTAAAATGTGACTAATGTGACCAAGGAAAGAAAGATTAATTATTTTTTTAATAATTTAAATTTAAATAGTTGCATAGGGCCGGGAACAACCATGTTTATTGGCCAGTACAGCTCAAGAGAGCAAATGAGAACCACTGAAAGGAAAAAAGAGAAACTGCAGAGAAAGGTGCTACTGTCTGTCTGGGAGACCAAGGGGGTGATACTGTTCAGGGCAGAGCAACCAGATAAAGCATTTCTGTAACGCCGACATGGTATAACGAGAGCCTGGATGAGGGTGGTGGATAGGAGAATTGGGGAACAGGAGGGCCACCAAAACGAGCAGGTCCTTGGTGGACCCATCCCTGTGGCCTCTGCCTGGAGACAAGTGACCTCAACCCTAACCCTACTTAATAGCCTCTGAGGTTGTCACCTTCTTTATGCATGCTACCTTTGCATCTGCATCTGAGATCAGAACTGGGGTTCACAGCTTCCCCCTCAAAATTCATTATAAGCTCTTATTCTAACCTGCAAATCACAATGCCTGCTTTTAAAGGTGTTTCTCCACAAATCTGATTTTCCGAAACTATAATGACTTTCTTTGCTATCTCAGGCTCTTGCTGAGTTATTTACCACTTGCCTAAAATTCTGTAAGACTTAGAACTAAACAATGGATTCTTATCATTAATCTACCCTCCATCAAATGCTTTTAAGTCAGTAAGATTACATTTTCTATGCTATCTTTAGCCTATCTCTTTTGCATACCGAAAGCTTTAGAACCATTTCAGTAGTAACTGTTATTTTCACTAGTATTTACTGAGCTCCACACTGCACTGTTTTAGGTTCTAAATGCTGGAGTCTTTTGGGAGAGCAGGGCAATCCATTTAGTGAAGGTCATGGCTACCTTGGAATGGGTTCTATAATTTAGCAATCAAGTGCATTATAAATTGTGCAGATTTAAGACAGTATACTCATTTATCTGCTTTGAAGTTGAAAGTAAAAGGCTTTGGAGTCAGAAGGATATGAGCCCTAGGTTTGCCATTTTCCAGTGGGGAGAGTTGGGTAGGCCACTTGCAGTCTTCTAACTTTAGTTTTCTCACCTGTGATAAATAAAACAAGATCTACCATTCCCGCACCAGAGATTGTTGTGAGGTTTGGGATGTCATGTATTAGAAAATGCTTTCTAAAACTTAAAAAGTGGTACTGAATGTTTCTTTCTTAAAGTCTAAATGCAACATAATTGGTTGCGTTATTCCAATAACTTTATAATCTAAAGTTCACAACCTGGTTCTTTTTGTGAGTATAATATACCATGCAGAACTAAAAATGCACGCACACATTAAGCTATATATTACATGTATTATTTCCCTTTGATATATTGGGCTATCCACCATCTTGTAGAGAAAAAGCACAGCATTCTGACCAGAGTTATATGAGTTACATAGGCCCATGAGTTCTAAGGATGATTTCCAAAATGTTTTCATTGTTATATCTCAAGTACCAATGTAACTTTATAAAGTCATTAATTTTAAGGCTTTCTGTCCCTACTGTTTAAAGTATAGACAGCCTAGTTATGGGTTTTTTTGAGATTCTAGAATATCACAAATTCACTGCAATATGTTCAAAATCATGCTATCCAGTTGCTCTTGGGCAACGTGTGAAAAGAATCTTTACTGCCACGGTATTGTACCTTATTCTGTATACATAACTATGGAATCTTACCACAAGAAAATTGTATAAGAAGCAGGAAAATATTTTTAAAGAAAACTAAACATAAACATTGTTAAACTTGAAAATATAAGATCTTTCTGTAAAAAAAAATCATTTCCTCAGTTCTTGCACAATGTGAAGAAATATACTTGGGTTTTAATGTGTTAAATAGAGTAGCTTTGTTTTAACAATTGCCAGATGGGGATCAAGGTACTTCCGGCTGCTTTAAATGGTCATAATCCAGAGTCATTAACACCAGGAGAGAATCTGAAGAAAGGTTAATTCAAACCATCCAAGGCAGACTCAAATGAAATCCACACACACACAAAGGATTGATTTAGACCTTTTTTTTTTTTTTGGAGAGAGAGACAGGGAGAATTTGTGTCAGAAAGACCAGAAATTATCCTGTGCTACTCTCAGACTCTTAACTACCGAACACAGTTAAAGGGCATAAGGGCACAGGCATGGTATCCAAATTCTGGAAATCTTAGCAATTACAGTTCGACAATGCAAAGAAGACTAGCACTGTCCACTACAGGAAGACTGGAGTTACACACTCACACACGACACTCCTTTTCTCGGATTCCCTTTGGCAGATGCATCAAGGGCATGTTCTATGCAGCCAACAAAGGGAGTAACTCAGATGCCAAGGACATGATTTCTCTCCTCACGAATATGTTCTAAATGTTCTCCTTGAAGGAGTGTGGTTATCAATTTAAATTGACTCCTGTTCATATAAACTGATTTGATATTTCACTAGAATTTTTAATTTAAAGTTCCTAATGAACCTGCTCATGCCTACTTGGCTGTTTAAATAAACACCAAATTACAAAACAACAGTGACAAGATCCAGCGATCCAAGCCTAGAGATAGCGCCAGCCCTTTAAACAAAGGATAAACACGAATAAGTATGAAGACATCACAGATGTTTCATATGCACTTAAGCTGTTCTCCTGGATGGATGAGTAGGCCGTATTTATTGAATTTGTTATTTCCTTCTTTTACAGCTGCAAAGTGTGGTGTGGGAGGAAGCAAACAGGTAAATGTTCCCAAGTTCCTGCAGCTACAAAGGAGCGTTGAGAGGCAGAGCCTAGCGGTGGAGGCGGAAAGACTACACCCCCCTCCAAACAGAACCTGTCAGGGCTTTTTGTGAGCACTTTGCCTCTGTGAATGCTCCAACAGCCAATAAACACGTGTGTCCTTCCTTCAGAAGAAAGCAGGTGCCGTCATCAACCAGATCAGTTGTCCAGAAAGAAATGATTCTGTTGGAAAAAATGCATTCCTTAAAGCAGAGACTATCCTCAAAACTGCCCTGTGGCTCTCAGCAGAGTCCCCCAAAGCTTGGATTTAGATGTGAGAGACCAGAGATGGCAGGTGGAGACCCAGAAGCTTCGCTACTAAGCACAGAGCAATGCGAGAGATGTCAAGAGCTAGAGGGGCAGAGAATTTAGTAGGCCAGCACCATGCTGAACCTCCAGGCAGAGAAGAGTTCAAGGAAGTCCAAAGAAATCACGAAGCAGGGAACAGAAGTGGAGTGAAGAAACTGGCAGAAAATTAACGTGCAATTGCATCCCCAAACCTGAGCCACAAGGATTCATCATACGGCACAATAAGCACGGAGCATTGGCAGGACAAATGAAATGTCAATAGCTCCTTAGGGCTGGTTTAATGGATCTTTCATAAAACCATTGGCTGGAATCAAAATAACTCACAAGAGAAACAATTCTCTCTCTCATCATCAAAGAGGTTGAGAAGTATGTAGTGCTTAACAGCTGCAGGAAGAGAAGGGCTCACATTTGACCTGCTCATAACAACTTCTCTAATCATTTCTAATTTTTCTTCTCTGGACATTCACCTCTCAACCTCTAATCAAAGCGAGGTCCACAGACCAGCCGTGGCCACACCACCTGGGAGCTTGTTACAGAATCTCAGGCCTGTGCCCAGACCTACTGACTCTGAATCTGCATGTTAGTAGGATCTCAGTTGATTCCTCTCTGCTGTAAAGTTGGAAAAGCGTATCTCCTAGCACCTATTCTTACCCCTTATCATCCATTCTCTGCACAGTTGCCTGAGTAATCTTTTAATTTAGTTTGTGTCCCCACTGATTATTCCCCCTGTAGAAGGAAAGCCCTGCGAGGGCAGGAGCAGGGCGTGGGCTGGGCCCCACTAAGTCCTCCGGCATTTACTGGTGAGCTATTCCCTACAAGGCAGTCTGCTAGGGACCAGGGAAACAATACAAATAGAGGAGGGCTTCTTTCCTCAAGCAGCTTTTAGCTACCTCTCTCCTTTCACATTTTCACTTCCCAAAGCCCAACATTAGAGTCACCTTTGAGTCCTTCTGCTTTTCGTTCCTCCTACCGGTCAAGGTCTTGGCTAGTCTCTGTTTATCAGTTCAAGCTCAAGAAACATCCCTCACTGTCATGACCTCTCGTTGCATGCCCACAGTCAACAGTTGCTTCTAGCCTCCATTTTTTCCTGAATGATTTCAAAGTGATGCTTTCTTCAACGTGCTCTCTCACACACAAGTCTAATTTATCTCATGCGGCTATAAAAAAAAAGTCATCTGAACATGCAGTTGGGGTCATAATGGTCTTTTATTCAATATACACTCAATAGCTTCCCATTGAACACTGAAAAAAACCCTCCTCAACTTGGCATTTAAGGTCCACTGCCAATGTATTAAGTTGAACTGAATAAAACGGAACAGAATATTACCCATTTCATACGTTGCCACCTAATAGTATTCACGTACCTTTCCATCCTTATCGTCTAAGAATGCCCTTCTGTCCTGCACACTAGAATACAAATGAGATCAGTCTACACTTTCCAAGCATGTTCACTTCCTTCGGTTCCTCTGCTAATGTTTATTCTTCTTGGAGCTCCTCCATGCATTCTCTCTCCCTTGAATACTTCCATTCATCCCCAAGTTCCATCTCAAAGGACTCACCCTCCGTGATGTATTTCCTGTTGAGTCCCTTCTCAATTGTTAGTAATCCTGCCATGCAGTGAAGTCCCTTAGGAAATGATTCATGTGTCTCTTACAGTACCAATGAGCATTGGTGCTACTTCTCGTCTTATTCTTCTATACTGAGCACTGAGCTCCCAAAGTGTTTTGCTGAATATATTCCTTTGCAAGTAGAGCATCTTAATACATATTTGTGTAATTGTTAGTACTCTCAGTTATTTTTCTGGGTCAGTTTTACTTAAGTTTAAATGTGGTATTTTCTCACTGTACATGATAGTCCCTGCTTGTTTATTATTTTAGCCATTTGAAACTTCCTTTGTCATTATTTAAATTACGGAAAAAAAACCCTTTGCAAGATAAGGCATCCATTATGCTATCTAGCACCTGAATTTTCTAATTTTCTTACATAGATTACACAGTTCAGTAATGTAAATTCATTGTAATGACATAGGAGATGCTTTATTAATTCATTTTAAAACCTCCTCATTTATCTCTGATATTACTCCTTAAAGAAGAAAGTTCCCCAGGTCAAATAGAAAATATACATTAAAAATATAAAATCTACCAGAACTTGAATAGTATAGTGAAGTATTTGAAGATCTATTTACCTCTTCATTATGTATATTAAAAAAAGAATCTACACGCATACCATTTAACCTTATTGCAGCAACATATATTTCATGTGCATACAGGAAACATTAAAACAATGACTAAGAGCTCAAAACTTACTAGAAAAAAATGCTGTGCATTGTGATTAGTGTGAAAGACTCTGGGCCTGTCTTGTATTTGATTGTTCACCTGGAGTCTCAGTTCATTCGTTTGTAAAATGGACACCACGCTCACTTCCCAGGATTACAGCAAGAGCTCAAATGAGACTCCATGACATGCACTAAGGGCTTAGAATATTATCTGGCACATTGTCAACAAAAATCATAATTTTATTAATAAAGATAAATGACAACAAGAAAGGATAGATTTCTCTAAAGCTGTTATGATTCTAGAAGTTTCTTTATAGATTCCTTAAGTATATATGCATAAAATGATGTCATACTGAAGTAGTCCATAATGAGCATGACAGTGTTGGAGAGGACTATGACATCACTGCTAGTGTTACATTGGAAAGAGGGGGAGAGCAACAGCCTCCTCCCTTCCGCTGCAGCACAGTCTGGGCCGAAGCCGCGCGGAGCAGTAAACAATGTCGAGCCCGGGATGTTCGGTGAGTGTCCAGAAAGCAAAACTCATGCTGCAGTTTGGCCTCTTTCCCCAGCTGATGAAAGTGAAAGGACATTGCAACAATTCTTTCCACCTTCACCTAAAACCAGAAAAATTCTTTTCCATAGAGCCTGGAGAAAATTTTACACATGGTTTGCCTGCTTTTCTACCTGGTATTATCTAATTTATTACCATAAATTAAGGGTTTATAATGAACAAGTTAGGTAACTAAAAAAATGTGCTAAATGTCTGTCTCATGGTACGTAATCTCATGAAAAACAAGAACAAAAAAGCAATGGGGGGAATGCAGATTTTCCCATCAAATTTATTTATCCATCAAGTAATTCAATAAATACTTATTGAACTGCCGTGCTCAAAACATTACGCTATGTGCTGAAGGTTACAAGTGAAAAATCAATAAAAGAATTTAGTGCCCAAACTAATGCCAAGACAGATGTTGTTGGTTAGAAAAACCATCATCCAGATCCCTGACTCTCTTAACAGTCCAGTATTCAAATTCTATTCTGATTTGACAACATAACAGTCTATTTGAATAAACTTTGATTTATTACACAAAATCTGTCAACACATTCCTAGATGAATTTTTAAGTGGTGCTAGCAAACTTAGGGACCAAAAAGCTCTTGGTGAGGTAATATGCCACTCTTCTAGTTTAAGTTCTTACTGAGTATAGTGAAGACTCTTATTTTGGTGGATACATGATAACTTCATCCATTTCCAATTCATCTAAACACCCCAGAATTCAAAATTAATGTAATGATTTGCTAGTGAGTCTGAAGATTTGAATACAGACTCTCGTAAGAAATATATACTGTATGGATTCTATTAGATGGGAAAAGAGAAAGCGGTGGGGGGGCGGTGAGTTTAACCAAACATAAAATATTTCCACTTACTGTGAGTGAAAGCTAAAACGAATGTGGCCCTAAGGGCTTTACAATATTCAGGGGAAACAGCAAGTCCTGCTTGGAGATTTCATACATGATTTTCACGGAATAATTTCTGAGGAAACAGTGCAATATACTTCATGGATCTCTGAATACATGAAAGGAATCTAATAGACAAGTCTATTAGATTTTGTTCAATATCTGAAATAATGCAATTTCTTTTCTTTTAAGGCACAGTGCTTTATTTTAACAAATTCATTTTTTTGTGCAAAAAAGGGTATATGACGCTGCCCACACTTCTGAAGGGTGGTGACAGTGACATCTGCCCCTCCCCCTCTCCCACAATAACCACCCACAGAAGCAAGGCTTTTACTAAGTGTTTGTGGAATGAATAAATTAAGGTTCTCATAATTACACATTGCAGAGAAAACCGAACAAGGGCAATGCATCAGTCTCTCAACCGCTGCAAATATTCAAGCTCACAGATGTAAACTCACTTCTGATATTGCAGGGTCACTAGCTGAACATTAGCCATTTTTTTTAAGTATAGTAAAAAAAAACTAACCTTACTGCGTAAAATATTTCGGACAGATAGTCTTGAGGGGAAATACTCTGTGAATGCCAAGGAAAGGCTTAAATGACGTTATCGATCTTCTTCTCAGCAATTCAGAAAATGTCTTCCCTTTTTTTTAAAGCCAAATTACAAGTGAAGGTTTCATTGACAGGAGTATACGTTAAAGTCAAAGATAACCTTAAAGAATTAAAGAAAAAGGTAACACCCATACTTGCCATCTCCAATCAATATACATCCTGATGCTGAATTTGAAAATTCATTATTTTTTTTCCCATAAAGCATAAGGCCTGGGTTCAATGGCTTAAACTGCTTTCATGGCAAGATGAAGGATTACTTTCTTATGCTGTCAATGCAAAATAAAGTGTACATAAAATCAGTTCCTTTAATAACTAATATCTCAGCCTGTAAATATATCTGTTGCTAAAGCATCTGTGAAGAAGTTACAAGCTTTTATTCGCAAAACCAACAATACTGAGTCATTCTGGGGCTTTCTTCTCTACCGCCCATTCCACCTGGGAAGGGCAAGCCATTTCATTTAGCCATTTAAAAAAAACATCACTTTTAAGCAGGATTTCCTCAGATAAAATCAATACTTACTGTATGACCCTTAAATTCAAATTATCGAATTTTTATTAACATAGAGAATTTTGCACATTCTTTAGCCGTTATGAAAGAATCCAACAATAAGTCAGATATAGTAATATTTGTTACTAACTTGCAACACAGGCAAAAGACACAATTCTTTAGATATCTAATCAAAACAGCCTTGGATAATGGCATTCTCTGCCTAGGAAATCACACATTCTACAGACAATGACCAATGCAGGCTGAAGGATAAAAGACCAGCCACAGAGACATTACTTCAAATAAAAACATCCAAATCCCTCCTTGATTTTTCTTCATTTAAACATCCAAACAAAACATGTGGTACCTTTTAATTTTCTGAATGAGTGGTTCCCAATCAATGCTTCCTCGGTTAGAGACAACAAACTGAAGAATCTACTGAAACAAAACAAAAGGAAAAAAAATACATATATAGATGTCAACTAAATATTGAAGATTGTAACTCACCAGTAAGCAAATGCGTTCTTTACATCCAGACAATAAATCTACATCTTGAGATCTGTAGTGCAAACAATGCAGTACTTGAATTTTTAGGAAGCCCATTAAAGAGTTTTAAAGCATTTCACTTTGAGACCACATAAAGCAGATCCCTTGGGAAACAGATTAAAAATAAAACACAATCAAAATAAAAAAAACCCCGAACCATTACCAGTGCTTATGCCGAGACACCACCTGAGTCTAGCCTTTAAGGACTGCTGCGGAATCCTTCTCCGGGAGCATTATCTCCACAGGCTGGCTCTAGTTCTGGCTCTCTAGCTCCTGACAGACTGCAGTCTGCAAGCCCCCAGCTCCCGCCTGTGTGTATCAGGGAAAGGGGAGCTGCAAATTAGAAAAAGTCCCCGCAGTGGCGAAAAGGAAAATAAGGCAAGTGGGAGAGGGAGAGAGAGCTCGCTAGCCTCAGAATTTTCGAGAATGATGACAAGCCACCCAGCTCCGCCATCATTCACTGACAATAAGGTGCAGCCCTGGCTTATGATTCAGTGGTTTGCCGTAGGGGCTTCTGGTACCAAATGCCTGACGGGCATTTTAATTGCCTCCATCCAAGTGTGTCCCCAGGAGCCGAGTCTATAAGCATCATCTGGTCTCCTTTGTGCTAATGCCAGACACACACATACACAGACTGCTTAAGCAGAGAGGCTGTTTTCCGGCATATAGGATTACAAACAAGTTAGGTTCCACAAACTAGATGTGGCTAAATGACAGGCCCTGGGAATTTTTATTATCTGCATCAATGACAACAGAGATTCTTTAATGTTTTGTCACTGGCAGATAATTACAATATTTTAAAACCGAGTATTGCATTTGCTTATTTATATTCCAAAACAAGTAACCATGCTCATTAGACAAATGCATATACTTACATATATTTTCTTATGAAAAAAAATCAGTCCCCTTTTAATTGTGATAATTACGCACTTGGAAATGTCTTCCTTTCAAGGGAGAATGTAGCAAAAAACAGAGGATTAGAAAACCAAGGTTGATCTGCCATTTTTGTGGGCAATTTTATTCTGTTCATACACACAAGCAAAAGAAGGCGGCGACCAGCTTCAGTCCTGGGACTTCACAGTCCCTGAGGGCCAGGGCAGGGGACTGAATCTCTGGCATGATCAGTATCCCCTTTATGTCAGCAACTGAAATTAACCGTTGAATATCCCTGTTTTACAGTGCCCCTTACGGAGGGAGGTTAAATGTGGAATACATCTCTGCATTTATTTCCTGATCAGAAGGAATGGGGAAAATGTTAATACATTAATTAATTTGTGCAGCATTGTTAGCTCCCTGCGTCAGTGCATAAAAGCAAATTCAATGTGTACCAAAAGGGCCGGCTGTGAAAAAGGTTGCTGGGAGGTTGCATCACCATGGTTACCGGAAACAGAAAGTATGAAGAAAAATAAGGTGATGATAGAAAAAAAAGATTACAGTGGAGTCAATTTAGAGACCTTTGCTATGCTTCATTCTTCTCCTGGAAAGAATTGTCTCAGATTTACATTACATTTTAAATGTATTAGAACAGATCTGCATTCTCCATTAGCCACCTTTCTTCTCCATTTTTGATCATTAGCTAATTTTGCTTTCATAAATATTCAAATTACTCTTCTTTCATAGAAAATGGAGCCTGCCACTCCGTGTCTCTGTCCATATCCTGAATTCATTAATGCCACTCAGCCTGTTCCACACCCTTGGTTTCACAGGTGAGAAAGGCGAGGCCCAGGGAATCGGACCAAGGCCACGAAGCTGAGTGGACATCCAGCAGAGACACCATCCCAGTTTCCTGGTGCAGGTCCCCTACTTTTAGTCTATCACTGAGTGATTTCTTTCCATGCTCTCCCCCACTCTGTTGGCAATCAAAACAGATTCTAGAAGCATTCTTTGTCTTTGATTTTGTCATCTTTCTTTTATTTGCTGAAGCAGATCTTCCTGTCTAAATGCTTTGTAATCATTCTGAGAACTAGCTTTGCTTCACATCTGTGATGTAATGTACTGGAGGGATGAAGAATGTGGGGGGATTATGTCACTGCTTTTCTTTAATTTCCAGTCTGGCAATCAGATGAAGCAAGCATGACTGCCCTTCTTTCTGGGAGCCTATCTTGTTGAACCTGAACTCAGTGATCATACAGTAAGCATTCTATCATCCCGGACACCATTCTTTCTGCAAGCATGAAACTGCACAATTGCATCAGAAAAGATGAAAGACTGCTATTTGCAACAACATGGATGAATCTGGAGAATATCATGCTAAGCAAAGTAAGGCAGATGGAAAAAGTCAAGGAACCATATGATTCTACTCATGTGTGGAATATAAAACTGAAATCAACAAACAAACAAAAACTCACAGACACAGACAACTGTTTGGTGCTTATCTCGGGGGAAGGGGGGTGGGGAGTAGGTAGAAAGAGTAACAGGGATCAAATATACAGCGATTAACAGGAGACTTAACTTTGGGTGGTGCACACACAGTGCAATACACAGACGATGTATCACAGAATTGCACACTTGAAAATGATATAATTTTAATAATCTATGTCACCCCAATTAACTTAATAAAATAAAAAAAAATCGGTCAACTGAATTGGGTTGGCCTTCCAAGGTTCCTCCTAGTTATAAATAATGTTAACTTTCTCAGGATTACACAAAATAATGAAGCCAGAAAATTAGAAGTCCAGGTAAAATTTTTTTTTAAGTCACTCAAAAACAACCACTGGGGGGTGCAATATTTGTTAAAATCTTCCTGAGATCCTCAATAAAAAATTGTAACTAGGATTTTGACCTTGATGCTTTACTGCTTTTACTGCCTTTCTAAAGTGCTTTTTTTGATATTCAGTTCTTAGGATGCATCTACAGGTCAGGCCACATTGCCTCTTCGGATGTCCAACACACGGTTGCTGCCACCACTGCTACTCTCTGCCCCCAGCTATAAAAGAAACAAATCATATTTTTTAAAAATATGATTACCCTAGGTAACAATTACAAAAGATTTCAGGTTTCAGTGAATCTACATGCCATTTAGGATACTCCTTGCCTCCAAAAAGTGTACCTTTAAACAGATCATTCAGTGAAATGTCTATTTTTCTTAAGTGATTTTTAAACAGTAAGGTTATTTTTCAAAACAAATGGTTTGTTTTAATATAGTGTCATCTGTTGCTCACTAAGCACAAAATAAATGATGCATATGACTGTCATTTCTTGAAACACGAATCACATTTTATTAAGATCTCATAAAGCACAATACTAGTTCTGGTCCATCTAAAAGAAAAGAACACAGCTTCCATAAATATTTAATACTCTTTGAGAGCCATTTAAGATTTGGGATACCTGGTCCACTCGATGACAATGTGTTGGTATATTTTTCTTCTTTTTCCCATTCGTTAGTAATGAACCATTACTTGAACATGTCTGTTGTAAAATACGCATGATATGTAAAATATAATTCTTGACTTTAAGGATGTTATATCCTAAGAATATAAGATGTCACATAATTGAGACACTTTCATGATTTTTAAAATATATTTTATTGATTATGCTATTACAGTTCTCCCATTTCCCCCCTTCACTCCCCTCCACCCTACACACCCTCTCCCACCCACATTCCCCCCCTTTTGTTTATGTCCATGTGTCATAAGTTCTTTAGCTTCTACATTTCCCATACTATTCTTGCCCTCCCCCTGTCTATTTTCTACCTACCATCTATGCCACTTATTCTCCGTACGTTTTCCCCCCTCTCCTCCTCCCACTCCCCTGTTGCTTACCCTCCATTATTCATATTTATCCTAGAGCCTAAATTGTAGTCTCTTCTTACCCTTCCTCTTTTTCTCAAGGTTCTAGACATTGGCTGAGCACCATTCATCAGCTCCTTTTCCCAATTTTGATGACACACCGACATATATTTCAGACGCTTGATAGGTTTTAGGAATTGGAAATAAAAGGAAACCAAATTTCTTCCTCAGGAACTTTAGTTAGAGTGGAGGAGACATGGAAGGAAACAGAAATCAACTTCACGCTTCTTTCCTCACTTTGCTGAGGCGCTGTCTCTCTGCCCCTTGGTTATAACTGCTTCATTTCACATCCCGATCTATAAGAATCTGATTTAACTATGTCCCCAGACTCAGTTAGCTTATTCTGGTGGCTCTTCTGAAAGAGCCTGTATTCATTCCTTAAATGTAGCGGTCTGTGTGTCTGCAGATCCCTCTTCAAGCTCTTCAGGAACAAGTGATGGAGGTGCATGTCCTCACCTCCAGGGGGCCTCTGGTTACCTATCACCTTCCCACCCAGCACTTTCCTGGCTACCACCATGGAAACAACAGCCACGTCCCTTCCACAGCCCGGCACCCCTGCTACGTGTTCCCTTTCCCCAGAGCACTTACCACTTTCTATCACACCATGTTTTACTTATTATGTGCACATGCCTCACTCTGCTAGTTCCATAAAAGAAGCTATCTTTCTATGTTGGGGACACTTGTGTATCCAAAGCACCTAGAACAGTGCCTGGAAAATACAAGCACTCAACAATATTTTTCAAAGGAAAGAATGTAAAAATTACTTAGTCGATGGATTGAAGCATTTAAGCACAAGAAAAGTCTTTGTATTCTATCTTGATTTCCTTGTTTTATATATAGGGTGGGGCAAAAGTGGGTTTACAGTATGCAGAACACAAAGTTTATTCTTGTGTTGTTTGTTATTAATTATTGTATCATTTTCCATACAAACAACTGTAAGCCTACTTTTTTTGCCCCACCCTGCATTGGTCTGAACTGTATGATGTTGAAATTCTATTACCTTTTGCCTACAAAATGGTAATTTCATACTGTATTTCATACTGTTTAGCCTAATACCTGAGGAAGCTATAAAGGACGCGGAACTGAGCAGAAGGGGATATATAAATGCCCCAGTCTCCCGGCAGGGCAAGTCTTTAATGGTCACTAATTAAACTATGACAAGTTTCAAATTCAACTAATGGCTCCTTCCAGAATATTACGGATTATTGGAAGCATGGCTCCAAAAGCTATTGATTTTTTTAAGGCCATGAGGCTCTGTAATTCATTTAAGATCTAAAAATCTCTTAGAATTATTTCTCAAATTCCTTGAAAAATTCAGTAATAGGTCTCTAAATCTCATTTATTTTTAATTTGTATGTGAAAATGAATTCAACATAACATCATCAATGAAAGAAACATGTTCTAGAGGTTTTCTGATTACTAAGACAAATAATAACTGGCCAGGAGTTAAAAGAAAATCACCCAGATAATAAATATATGTGAATTACTCATGTGGTTTTTTCATAGCAAAGTACAAAATTAACCACACACCATCAACAAAGCTAAATCATTCATTATAAAAATAAAATAATGTTGAAAAACTCATGTGAAGAATTTTGAAAGCAGGTAATGAACAAATTTATTAGCAATGGACAAAAAGTCACGCCCCCAACCCCCGCAAATTCCTGGAATCACTTCACTCCTGCCCCAAACTTCTCTGGGCGTGACTGAAGAAGCCGGACGACATCCAT